GGGTTCGCGGGCAACAAAGCCCAGAGTGCTCGCAGGGCTCCTTCAGGGCATTCCCTGTGCTCAGGCCAGGATGGCTTTCTTCAATCTATTCTCCAAGGCTTCATCTGGAAGTTCACAGATTCCTACTACCTCCTCCTTCAAAAGGATCTGGAGATCCTCCAGGCTGAGGAAACCCTTTCTGCCACATCACCCTCGCAGGCTTGTGAAATAACAACACTCTGCCTTTGCACAGTCACACGGTGCCGTTACTGCACCAACGCGCGGAACACGCACAAGCACGCGCGTCGTTTTTAACCGCCCCAGCTGGGCACGTGTTACCCTGGGATCCCAGCAGGGGAAGGAAGAGCATCGCCCCAGCCAGCACCTGATCTGATGGCTTGTTGCTCCAGCTTGTACAGCAGCTCCTGGGTCGTCTCGTAGTCACCAGCCAGGGCGAAGGCGTAAGCCAGCACAGCTTCCGCGTAGGTGTCCGTGATGTTGGGAACCGCCGGCTGCAGGCAGGGCAGGGGGCTCTGCAGCCGGTTGTTTGCTCTGCGTCGGGACAAAAGGCACGTGCCAAACGCTGACGGGGGCAAAACAGGGGGCAGGGGGGGCTCATTCCATGGAGCTGAACTATGTCTTCCTGATGTAGCTCCAGAGAAACCCGTGAAATTTCGCACTTTCTCGAGAAAACAGGCAGCGCAGCCCCGGCGTACGTGGGCAGCCACAGCCACCCAACGCTCTCGCACCACGCTGGTTTCACGGGGATGACTTCACAGTTTGGCCAAACATCGGCCCCCTCCCAGCAGCTCCCCACCTGTTCCCACCTGGAGAACACCAGCAGTATAAGCTGCCGTGTCCCCATGGCAGTGCCCGGGCACGGGAGGGAGTGGGAGCACGCTCACCTTCGGCGGCTGACCCATCTCCAGCAGCGCTGCCGCAACGTAGGCTCCCAGGGAGATCTCATCATCCACGCTGTTCTGCGAAGGGAATGGACCTTTCACTCTCCGAGTGGCTTTTGGAAGGCTTAGGCAGTGACTCCCCAGAAGGAAAAGCATTCCTTTGGTGTTCCCTGCCACATACCCTGCTCTCTTTAAGGCTGGTTGGATAGGTTGCAGGAGTGACTCTCCAGGATCCTTTGGGATCCCACGATCTTTTGCTGTCACATTTGTCCAGCCGTTCCCCAGCTTGGCCCTCACTTACCTTCAGGGAGGAGTGAAAGAGGCTCCCTTTGGTGGCAAAGCAGCCGCTGGGGAGCTGGTTTTGTTCCAGCCAGCGTAGGGCATCCTGGACATTCCTGTCATCTATATAGATGTATTTTCTGGCTTGGCTGAAACTCTTGACCACAAAAGCTGTCAGCCTGGGAAGAGGATGGGTGGTGAGAGAAAGAGAAACACGAAAAAGGCAAAGAGAAAGACAAAGTTCTCCTTGTGCTTGTCCCTGAATTTAACACTGCCAAAAAAGAGATATTTTTGTACAGAAAGGCAAGCTAAAAGTGGAAACGGTTCACAGGACCCAAGTGGCTCCTCTCCCTCAGCCTGGCTCCACAAATGTACTATTCACATACTACTGCTTTACCCAGTCGTTTCACAGGTGAAAAGCCTCTTACCTCTTCTACTTTTACCCATTGTACTTCATCTACCCTAAATACCTAGAGGCAATCTTGAACTTCCTTCCTCCCTTCCTGTCTCCATTTCTCCCAGCCCAGACACCACAGGGTCAAGCTGGGCCAAACTCTCCCAAGCAACACCCTCCCCAGGGAGATGGTTTTTATTGCTCTTCCCTGACCAACCTGCAGTCAGTGTGTAGCCCTCTTGGCTGCTAGGACACCATGAGCAGTACCTGGTGTTGTCCGTGAGGCAACAACAGGGCCATAGAGACAAAAAAGGGACCTCCCACCCCCTGAGATCTCATCTGTGTTGTTGAACTTTCCCAGAAACTCTGCTGCCCTGCCTCACTGCTTTTTCAGGTGGCTCCAGTCCCTCAATCTATCTCCGTGCCGGAGAGGTCTCTGCCCAAAAGAAGGAACACGCATCCTATCAACTTTCCCAGGCACATTAGCTGCTCTGGCCCAGACAGGAAAAATTAGGAGTGAGGGACATTTGCAGAGCTTACCAAGCGTTCCCTTCCCCATCCTCTTGCCCAAAGACACTGTAGGAACCATCTCTGTGCCTATACAGAAGCTGCGTCTGGTACCCTGGGGAGATGGGAACAGGGATTAACACAGCACAGAGGGGCCAACACTGAGAGTGGGTGCAAGGGCAAGAGCTGTCGGTGTGTGGGACACGGGGGAAGGCAGAGGAGCGAGGTGGGTCTGCTGTACTCACCGTTGCGCAGGAACCCTGCTGCCCTCTCCTTGATCTCAGGGCTCAGCTGCCGCGTCTTCTCCAGGTACTGCAGCACGTAGACAACGGGGGCAAACAGCACCATGTTCTGCTCCCCGCAGCCGTGGGGCAGCGGCACCAGGCGGTCCATGTTCTGCAGCACCGTCCCCATCAGGTCACCTACACGAGGGTGTGAAAACAAAGCAAGTGTAAGTGTGGTTCGAGGTGCTTCTCGGCCAGGCAGCGGACAACAGTGCTTTATCCCTGGAGAGAGGAGGGAAGAGGAGTGCAGGGTGGAGAGTGGTGACTGTTTTGCCTCTTCCCAGTCATGCCACAGGGTGACCATGTTACGGAGCTCCTGAGGAGCTCTCCCGTATCAGCTTTTGCAGCCTGAAGGGCTCCAGCCATGACAAGCCCTGTTTGGGGAAGGCCATCGGCGGAGCTGCAGTCGCTCAGCATGTGTCAGACAGACGGACAAATACAACAGCACTTAGGGAAGGGTTGAGATGTTCCTGGTCTTTAGCCAGGCCTGTTCCACCTGGCCATATGTCAAGCATCAAAATGTCAGATGGTGCTAGTCAGATGGTGTGAAGGTGTCTGTATGTCCTCCAGCCAGCCAGAAAAGCCCTGTATTCTGCTTCCTCCTTCGAGGCGCTGTTGTATAATACCCATGGCTACTTGTGCCAGGCTGGCTTCACACCGATTCTGGCACGGGGACAAATGAGCCCCGTGCAAAGAAGTGTGGTGAACTGTAGGTATGTCTGGTCCCTGTAGCCTCTCCAAAAATGTTCTTTTGCAATTCAGTAATACTGAGAAGGATTTCTTCTCTCCAGGAGCTTCTGTTATAGCAGCAAAACTTAACAGGGAGAGAAGATGGTTATGAGCTTTGCTGATTGTATCTACACAGAACTAGCCAAGGTCCCAAAGTCCCAGTAAAAATAACGGCCTAGAGTCTCTGCTCCAAAGTCCTACCTAGAAAAATAAGGTTTAGTCTCCTCTGCAGAGTCCTTTCCCCATGAAAGTCTAAGTGCTAATCCAAAAATCTGAAAGCCCGGTGTTGGCAAACCTTGCACAGAACAGAAAACAAGCATCCTCTCTTTTGAGCAGTTTCATGTCAAATGGATCCCCTGACACCATCACCGGGTTAACCCTTGCTCATCTGTACCAGCAGTCAGTGAGGCCACCATAGAAATCACTTACCTGAGATGGAAATGGAAGCCCTGGCAGATCCCTTTACTACATTGTCAGGGAGGCGAAGGGACACAGATTCTTCAGCAAAGTTTCCTGAAAACGACAGGATAAAGGTGTAGCATGAAAAAAATCAAGCCAAGTGCATCTAACCAGAGGGACAAGACTGGCACGGATAAACGGGACACTGCCTGCATCCCACACACACCAATGGCTCCCTAAAGTCTGTCCCAGTCATCACACCAAGCTCCATTGCCTGAAACTTATCAGAACAGAAGAGACGTGAGAGCTGCTGGCCAGGCTGAGGGCTCACCAGGCTTCACAACTCAACTCTTTGTGCTTCACAACTCAACTCTTTGTGCCTCACGAGAATCACAGCTGGTCATCACTCAGCAGGAGGATGTCCTGGAGAGACTTACGATGCTACAGGGACAGGGTGGGAGGGTTGGAGCAGCTCTCACTGGTGACTATCAAGCCCCAGGAACTCCCAGGAGCTCCCAGGAGTGGGAAGGAGACTACAGAGCAGGATTTTGCCACCTACACGCAGTGGCAAATTCAGCAGGGCAGCTCACGTGGAAGCAATATTTCCTGCTCTTTCCCGTCTAATAGGAAGTGAAATTTCCTACGTGAAAAACCATTTGAAGACGTTCTTTCATCAGATCTCCCCCAGTTTAGCCCTGCTCTCAGGTCCAGTTATTGCAGGCTGCAGGACCCGTTCAGGCTGTCCACATACCTCCTCTGGGGCACACAAGCGAGCCGTAAGACTTCTCCACTAAGACACCTTCTGGCTACCAGGGCAGGAACGTGGACATGGGACAGGAGAAACAAGATTACACACAAAATTCCCAAACAGCAGCAAAATTCCAGAGCACATTCAGCAGTTAGTCCCCGGGCTGTCGAGGACTCCATCCTCCTCACCTCCGGCAGCTCTGTGCTGACGCTGCTTCGCTGCTCAAGGGAGCAGGAGCGAGGCCAGGGGCTGGGGCTCCCCGGTCCGTGAGCACACACAAAAGCTCGGGTACAATGGGTGATGGAGCAGGGAAAGGTACATGGAGGAACACGGACACGGTGCATGAGCGCAGCTCAAGGAACAGCACCGTGAGAAGGGGATGGGCTCGGCTGGGTCCCGGGGGGAGCAAAGCAAACTGGGCCACAGCCCTGGTGTGCTAGTGCTGGCCAAAACAACAAGGAGAGAAAGCCGTTTAGCCCAGCTCAGCCTCCCTTCCCCCAGGGGCAGGGATACTCGGAGAGAGAAGGGAGCTTGTTCTCGTACTGACCCGGACCAGCACGTGCTTGACCAGCGTGTGCCTCCGCCTCACGGTAGCTGGCAAGGGCTTCCTGCCCCCGCACCCCGGTGTGCTGTCCAGCACCTCCATCCTCAGGGTGACATTCAGCATCCCTAGCAAAGAGATGGGACAGAGCCTGTTTCTCACACCTGTGGTCAAGTGGGGTCAGCTTGCTTTCACTGACGGTGGTCCAAGAGGCTTTGGTGGCTGCTCTTCATAGCCCCAGTGATTTGGCCAGTAGAGCTGAGCCGGCCAGTACTGATAGCTGGTTCAGACATCTGAAGCATGAGGGAGCTAGGTAATGTCCCACCAATGGCGACTTCACTGCACTACATGCGACTGTCACAACAGAAGGTCCAGCAGCTCCTCGGACCCCAGTGTCCCCTTCCCACTCTGTATGAACCGCAGCACCAGCAATACCGGGTTCCACCACCCACATCCGTGTAGCCCCTTCCTCCCCAGTTGGTCCCACAGCCCTCTCTTCAAGAGTTCTCCATGCCACCCATTCAGTTCCTGCCCTCTCTGAGAAGAGAGAAAGAAAGCAGACACGATGGATCTCATGCTTGAACGACTAAGAACAAACTTTGAGATTCAGAGGAGGCAAGGCTCTGTCAGCTTCTCTGAACCTCCCACTTCCTCTCACTTCAGTTCCAGGGTTCCCCATCACCACTCCCATGTTTGCTGCCATACCCAGCTGGACTGCTGTCACATTCCATGCGAAGGTCTTGGACTCCTCTGCACACAGACACTCCCTGTCTCTGCAGGTCCGACACGGCTCCACTTGGAAGTCAGAGGATCTAGCCAGGGCCACGTAGATCTGAGGGAATGGCAGAGGCAGGTGAGTGCCTGGGCAACTCAGAAGAGATGGCGTGGCACACCACGCTCTAAAACTGGAGGGCATGGTAGGTCTGTCCCACACCTGTATGCACTGCTGCAGGTAGCTGAAGACAGTAACTTTCAGTAGAAAGGTCTCTCCTCGGATGACAGAATAGGGCAGCGTCACATCCACAAAGAAGGGCTGGACTGTTCTGAGGCTCACGGTCGGGGCAAGGCCAAATCTCCTCCCAGCCAAGCAGAACGTCTTGACTTTCCAGCCTGCAGCAGCAGCAGGTGCTGTGACCAGGACACTCCTGCTGCCGTTGGAGCTGGGAGGAAGAGAGCACTTGGATGAAGAAATTCATCCCACTCTGCTGCAACAGGGATGGCTCCTGGCACTGGCCGAGGGAGGCTGTGCAGGTCCTCATCCTTGGATCAACCTCTGCTATATTCCCAATGACTTCTACTCCAGTGGCTCTCAGCAAGGCAGCTCTCAGCAATCTTTCCCTAAAACCTGCTTAAATGCCATCAGTAATGGCTTTATACCCTTCTGCTGAGCAAGACACTGCCCAAGCATTCCAGCTCTGTACACTCTGTCAGCAGCATGACGTCATGGAAAGCAGCAGCAGCACCATGTCCTCCTGAGTGCTCATTCAGCAGTCTTAATCAAAGCACCGTGGCAACAAGGGCTATAAATTCAGCAGGTGGACCCGCCAAATTGAGAAGTTGGTAGAGCATACCCCTGTGTGTGAAGAGAGGATACTTGGCAGTTTGGTCTTGAGGTGCATTGCTCTGCCCTAAAGCTGTGTAGACTTCTGTTCAGCACCTCAAAGTCTACTAAGCCCTTCAGTTTGATGTAGAATCATAGAATGGTTAGGGCTGGAAGGGACCTTCAAAGGTCATCTAGTCCAACCCCCCTGCAAGGAACAGGGATATCTCCAACTAGATCAGGTTGCGCAGGGCCTCATCCAACCTGGCCTTGAATGTCTCCAGGGATGGAGCATCCACCACCTCTCTGGGCAACCTGTTCCAGTGTTCTACAACTCTCATGGTAAAAAATTTTTTCCTAATATCCAACCTGAATCTACCTCCCTCTGTTTTAAAACCATTACCCCTTGTCCTATCACAACTGGCCCTCCTGAACAGCCTCTCCCCATCTTTCTTGTAGGCCCCCTTGAGGTACTGGAAGACCGCTATAAGGTCACCCCGGAGCCTCCTCTTCTCCAGGCTGAACAGCTCCAACTCTTTCAGCCTGTCCTCATAGGAAAGGTGCTCCAGCCCTCTTATCATCTTCGTGGCCCTCCTCTGGACCCTCTCCAGTGGGTCTACATGTACTACAAACACAGTGAAGAACAACAAAATTCACATGCAGACCCCTCTCTACACCCATGGCTGGGCTTTTGCACAAATGCGAGTCAACCCAGACTCAGTAACCGAGGGATCATCCTCCTGTCCATTTGCAAAGCCTGGCATCACTCACCCAACAGAGAACAAATTCCAGATCCAAGTTTCAGGGGAATGGTGATGAAGTCTTTCACGGGTTGTAAATTGGGGTTGATCCTTCCTAATTCTTTGGTCTTCTGTAGAAGGCCACCCTGAAAGAAAGAATAAGGAGTCTCACCAGAGTAGGAGAGGTGAACCCTGCCAATAATGGACAGCCTAGCACTGGGGCAAGAGGCAGCACAAGCAGTACGAGAGACATGGGAAGAGTCTGGCAGAGGAAAACACGAGGGAATGGGCTGATTTGGTAGAAGAGGGAAAATAAGAAGGGAATAAAGAGTGGTAACAGGAAAACCAGTTTGCACTGAGCTGGTCGCCAGTTTTGCAAGACTTGGTTAGATAAAGCCCCTTGCTGACCTGACCCAGAGTTGGTGCTAAAGAGACCAGGGACCTTCAGAGAGCCATTTTAACCAACACTTCTGTAATTCTGTGAGTAGCAATACTGTTTGGTTGCCTGCAGAAGAGTCACAGCCCTCTGCAAGCAATGGTTTAAACCTCAGCAGATGTGGGAGCCACCTTAGTGTGGTTATCCACTGCAAATCCACACATGAAGGAAGAGACTGTCTCTGCAGCCGCAGGTGGGGACAGCGGCCAGGTCTCAGCACAACCCGTGGGATAGTCGCTGGGAAACAGATCCTGGTCCACACTTGGGTTTGTCTGTGCCACAAAATGGAATGCCATCCTCCAATGTCAGGGAAAACTCAGGTAGGGACATTCTTCAGAGCCCATTTTATAGGGACTGGGTGGCTCCTGCCGAGGCCGGTGAATGGGGCAGCTAGGCTGTGGCAGCAGCACCCATTACTCCTCAGAGAGCCCATATCCACCACCAGCAAACCCTGGGGATGATAGAGGCTCTTCCATCTGGCCGACCTCCTGTCACAAGTATGCTGAAAGAGCAGCTCACCAGTGGCCGGCTTCCTCTCCATCCGATGAAAGCACTGAGATGGCTTCTTGATTACCAGGTTTGAGAAGATCTTCAGTCCCATGTTCTGTTAGGAAAAGAAGGAGGGCAGGGGAGGAAGAAAAGCATCTGTGAGCAGAGAAGAGCGGCCACTGCTCTTCAGAACGACTGAAAACCATCGTGGCCAGGACAGGCCAGTGCCTGGGCAGCCCGGAGCAGTGGAGGGAGGCATGGCACAACCCCCCCATCCCTACTTTCTCAGGAGATCACCAAACCACCACCTCTCTTCTGGGAGACACCGGGACGTCCTGCTCCTCTTATGGCATTCCGGTGGCAAGGGCACAGAGGAGAGGTGCCGGCATCCTGCCCCAGCCCCTCACACACGCTGGGGGGAACAGCTGGGTGCAATCTGCCCTCTGAAGCCGTACAGAGGTGTGATGGGGAGCACGCTCCCCATTCTAGGGATACATAAAAGAGGACGGGGTCTGACTCCGAGGTCTGAGGCCAAATGGCACTGCCTGTCCCATGCCCATGCTGCTTATGGCTAGTCCTTTCTAGAGGAAATCTGCCTGAAAGACACCAAGAGATCCACCTGGGAACAGCCCAGTTCAGTGCCATGGAGCAGGCTAACATCTAAGCCATGTCAACCATCTGTGGTCTAATGCTTGGGATCACTCCGTGTCTTTCTCTTCTGTAATACTGCAGACAAACTGTACGCAGCCCAGGACCTCATTCCCAAGCCCAAAAAGCTGAGGTTGGCTGGTCCAGGATCTCATCATCTTGCTTTCTGCATCTGTGGAGGGGAATACAGGTGTTCATATTCATAACCATAGAATCATAGAATGGTTTGGGTTGGAAGGGACCACAAGGATCATCTCATTCCAACCCCCCTGCCACTGGCAGGGACCTCCCCTACACCAGGTTGCTCAAAGTCTACTCCAACCTGGCCTTGAACACTTCCAGGGATGGGGCAGCCACAGCTTCTCTGGGCAACCTGTGCCAATGCCTCAACACCCTCAGTGTAAAAAATTTCTTCCTTATATCTAATGGGATCGTACGTCTCTTGAGGCAGCACAGCTGGAGAAGGCAAAGCCTTGTCAGACTGCTTGGGGAGAAAGGCATCTCAGCAGCTTATAACTTCAACAGCTCTGGGAGAAGTCAAGAGATGATTACCCAGAAGAGGCTGAAGATGTCAGGCTGAAGGGAATGCTGTGGCGTCCCTCGCAGCAGAGGTGATGTGGGCTGGGGTTGGACACAGTGATCTGAATGCTCTTCCACTTGGGCAGGGTACCCATGTCGGTAGGCATCAGGGAACAAACCATAGACCTAGGGAAACTCAGAGGCAGGGAAGAATCAGGCCAGGAGCAGATACCTCCACCTTCCACCAGCATCCATACCTGTCCCTGCCCCGTGTCCCTCGGCAGCCCACGCTTTCACACAAAGACCTCCTCATCCATGAGCCAAAAAAAATCCCGCTTCTCCCCGCCCCTCCAGCTCCTCCATCACTCCTGGCTCTTTGCCTGGTTGCACAGACACCCACCGTTTGGCTCGTCAGCTCGCTCTCCGGCCTCATGGAGAACACGTTTTCATCCACTGCCTGTACGGCACACAGGGAGCCAGGGGCTGCCTGCAGACGGAGCTGCACCGCTGACCCCGAGGGGGCTTCTTTAGCTGGGAATCCCACCTCGACCTTGAGCAACACACCGGGAAAGGGAATATGAAAAAGAGAGAAAGAGGGGTGAGGAGGGTGACCACAGACAGAAAGAAGGACATCAGCTGGAGTCTTCCCTGCTCAGCCACTGCTACGAACAGAAGTCCCTGCTGAAGCTTTCCTGGTCCCTGGGCACTGTGCTGCAGACATCCCCTTCCTCTCTTCTCTCCAGGTCTCTCTCTGAAGGATCTGAGGGTCTCCTTCCCTCAGGCCTGTTGACTCTTTCTGGTCAGCTCTCCCTCAGCTGTAGGGGCGAGTCTCACCTGGTTTTCAAAGCACAAGGCAACATCAAAACGGACGCTGTCCGCTGTTACACCTCCGTTGGGGAAGATGGCATACACCACCAAGGAAGGCGACGGGGTCAAGTCAGCCGTGAAGGTCACAGGGATGGAGAAGGAGCCCTTCAACACTGAGGAAGGAAAAGCAAAGTGTTTCCATGGCGGCCCCTCCGAGATCTCCTTCTGGCCTCCTTCTTTTTTTTTGCTTTATAAGCCCACAGTGTCAAACCCACTCCTGCCGTGCTCCGTCTGCCCTCTCCCTCCATCCTCTGACCCCATGAGCTCCATCTTCCCACAAGTCTTCCCATTCTCTCTTCCCATCACTGTTTCCCTCGTTCTGTCTTTTTGGCCTCTTCCAGCAGACACGATTGCTTCCCTAGCCTCCCTCTGTCCTGTTCACTGGCTGCCCAGGACCTATAGATTCAGGAAGTTTGGAAGAAACTCTGCAACTCTCACTGTCTGACCTAGAAACCCACCGGGCGCAACTGCTTCCCGTTGTCCAGCTGCAGCAGACTTACTGTTCAGCTTCCCGACCCGGACACTCCTCTGGCCCTTGAAAACAATTCCAGCCTTCCCGGTGACCTGCGGGAGGAGGGAGATGGGATAAGCAGACCACTGTTTGCCACCGGAGCGCGGTCACACTCACCCACGTGCATCTTGCTCTCCTAAGCAACCTCAGAAACAAACTGTGGGTCCGATCCGACCCCACGCCTCAGGTCCAGCAGATCTGCAGACATCACAGTGTGGGAAGAGCAGCTTTAACACGTGAGATTCTGGTCTGGTCTGTCCGGTTAGGACAGTGGATGGGTAGTGGGTTCACTGAAGATACGTGGAGGAGAGCTCAGGAATTTCCCCTCTAGTAGGCAGGTCTCCAGACCAGACCAGAAGCCATTTCCACTGAGCAGCTGTTTGATAACCACAGTGAAAAAGTCATCCCCAGTCCATTTTTAAAGGGAGAAGAGTCTGGCAGCAGGTTCTGCAGCCTTGGCAGAGGCTAAGGGGGTGGTGGACTGCAAAGGTGGAAGCCCCCTCCCATCCGTGGAGGTGACCAGGGCCCCGATGCCAGGATCACACGATGGCCAGGCTGAGCTCTACTGGCTGTAGTGTTCACCCATTTCTCCAAGAACAAGTTTTTCCTGTCATCTCTCCAGGGATGATCTAAATTACACCCTCAACACTTCCTTAGGGTCTGGTCCATCAGTGCAGCCTTTCCCCACAGGTTCTCTACTACCCTTACTCACATAATATGCAAAACCTATACGGCTGGTGTCTTCTCCCAGGTCATCCCGACTGAGCGTGAAGGTCACCTGGACGTTCCGCTTCAGCCCACAGGGCAGTGTTTCCGTGAGCGGGTGTATGTCCAGGAAGCTCTTGGTTGTGACATGGAAGGGTTGCAGGTGATGGTAAGCGTTTGTATAACTGAAGTCAGTTTTTCGAGGTGTGTGCGTGAAATCCTCCAGTGTGAACCTTCCCTGAGAGGGACCAGAGACACAGAGAAATCAAGAGTTCCATGCTTCGGTGCTTTGTTGGGATGTCCACAGCTTGGTTTGGGAAAGGCTGCTGCTCGAGGTCCTCCTGCCTGGGCTGGCAGAGGGGTGTGGGAGCACTGGCAGAGCTCAGGGATTCTCACTTTCCTATAGGCAGAGGTGGGACTTACCTCCAAAGAGACCGATGAGCTGTTCCAGGGAGTTGTGTCCAAGTTGAATGAAGCTATTCCACTGCCATCTGTGATGTATGTTTTGATCAACCGACGTCTCATGAACTTTATCACGAGGTAAACTTTCCTGTTTTTCATACCGTTGCCATAGCGATCCTGAAGCTTAATCTGGTGACAACAGGGTGAGGCAGAAAAGCCAGTCAGACACTTATTGAATCCTAGAATGGTTTGGGTTGGAAGGGACCTCCAAGATCATCCAGTTCCAAACCCCCTGCCATGGGCAGGGACACCCTCCACTAAACCTTCCTCCCTCTGACAAGCATCGAGCCTCCTGGTTAGGTCACCTTAACTTCAGCCTGGCCTCAAGAAGACAGGAGAGCTACAAACCACCCTCATCTCTAAAGCTAAGCTGAGAGTGATCAAAAGGTGCGTGCAGCTAGAGCGCAAGTGCATCACCCAGCCAGCAGCTGAGATGTCCTTGCATCCCAGCATCCCTGCTGAGATTCCACTCTTGGCTCTCAGCAGAAGCTGCAGGTGTAAACGCACCAGGGAGTCTGAAATGCAGAAACTGGAGCCACGCTGTCAAGTTACGCGGCAGCCTGCAAAGTCAAGTCCTCTGTCTGAGGGACAGAAAACGGTTTGGGTCAGCAAAATTTGCTGGACACTGAATTCCCTGGCAAACGGTGGGGAGGAAAGAAAGAAGGGAAAAAGTCACCTTCCCCCTGTAAGGCACTCCAGGGATGTAGTACACATTTGGTGTCTCAAACATTGCCCTTGCAGCTGTCCTGGAGATGAGGATCTGGCTGGAGGCGTTGATCTGCACCCCTGTTGGAACGCAGAGCGCATGGGAAGCAGGATCAGAATCGGAAGTGGCCTCCACACCCCAGTTTAGTCTCACTTTGTTATTATGCACAGCCCCTCTAAGTAGTGTCTGAAACTTCCTTCCCGACACCAGCACCCTTCCAGGTTTGGAGGCTGTTCCTCTGGCAGCTCCTTCTTTAGTTAAGATGTCTCCAAGCCCCTTTGTGGCCTCATGGAGCACGTTCCCAGTCACACCTCACCACCTGCTGCTGGCAGGGCAGCTCTCCGTAGGCACAGCGGGTTTCTTGGACAGGACCACTCTCTGTGTCCTGCAATGGTCCCAGCACCAGGTGGAGGAGAGGAAGAGGTGTGCCCACTGTGATCCTCACAGCCCCAGAACGGTCCCCCTCACCCTTGCACCTTATCTGCTGAGCCCTCGGGTACCTGTGCCCGTCTCCAGGAGAGAGGCTTCTGCATAGAGCCTGGCGTCTTCCTCGCTGGGGGCCAGGTTGAAGGCAGACGTGCTTACAGAAAGGTTGAAGCACCCCTTGCTCACAGTCTGCAATAGGAACTGGTAGATGTTATTGGGGGCTGTCACAGAATCACAGAACGGCTTGGGTTGGAAGGGACCTCAAAGATCATCCAGTTCCAACCCCCCTGCCATGGGCAGGAACAACCTCCACTACACCAGCTTGCTCAAAGCCTCGTCCAACCTGACATAACTGTTGACTGGAACAAGTAATAATGCAGACTCATAGACAGATAGATATGATTCACATTTTAAATTCTGTATTTTCTATTTTATATGCATGAATATGCGTAATTCTTATTGTAGAAACCTAAAACAAAACAGGTGTCACACTTTTATCAAAGTTACGATGTCAGCAACCTTCCAGCTTTCATAGAAATCTGAAGACTGCACTAAGTGGATCACACAGCAAATACATGAGCATTTTAATAGATCAGGTTAGAACTGCAGAATCAAATGAAAATTCAAAGTAATGAATCGTTTCCAGAGCCGGAAGATCACAACTACTGTAAGAAGTCATAATGCCAAACCATAAAGCATGAAAAGTTTCCAGCCATAAATATACAACGGAAGGGCCCAGCTATGAAATACTTTGTTAGGAATGGAAAGATGTAATAAGGAAAATATAGAAATATGCAATATATAGAATCATAGAACGGTTTGGGTTGG